GTCTACAAACATGTACCACCGTTATTCTGTCGCAAAACGAGCTTAATGCGCCGCGTAATGCTGAACAAGAGCATTTACATTGCGCGCGATTAACGTCACTCGGTGAGGGCGAATTATGCGCGTTGCGCAAAAGCACACTCTCCGAAATGCATTGAACCTCGATATGACCCGAGAGCTCGTCATTTTACGTCGCGGCCCGAATTAATATCCATCTATTACATATTAAATTACATCAAACACGCGTTTGTGATTGGGCCGTCGTATCGCGGTCATAATGTCACAACATTACGTTGATATCGTTAGACCTGAAATTGGAAGGACGCTCATGGGACTAAAAATCGTTGTACCCGGCGCAAAGAGAAATTATTAAATTGTGAAATAATCCCTGTTTTGTCATGCGAGATTTTGTTGTCGTTGAAAAACTTTCTGTCGTCATAATATGCAGATTGTATTTATCGTCAGATTTGTCATTTTCGGAACTCGAATTTCTCGTATCGCGATACAATTTCACGTTGAAACAAAATCCAATAAAATAATAAATTAGCAATTCGCTCCACATACACACACACATATCGTGTATCATTTGTATCATACGATATAAATACACGGATTTTATCATCGACGTTGTGAACATTCGACAAATTTATTTTCACTCATTGATCACATTAATCGTAATTCTGAATAATTACTTCTCGCTATTCTGATATCTTAAATAGCCGATTTGACATTGAATCGCTTTGCTTTACGACTTTTAGGATTTGTGGTTTTCGTAGATATCACACACGCGTTTCGGAACTAGGATACAATCGACTTCAGAACTAATCACTGTAATCCGGATGTAATTTGGCGCCCGCCATGCTGGTAGCAAGTGAGATTCCCGCCAAGATCAATCAGAGATAATAATTGGAAACTTGACTTGTACCAAATGACAATCATAAAGACGAATGGAGGCAACAATGTTACACATAAACGATATCAAATGTATTCAGTGACATTTCTGCATATGTGTTTGTGTGTGTATGTGTGCAGCAATTAAGTTTTTTATTTAAAATGCGAAACAACATACAAATCTATGTCTACGCTCTTGTATAAGAATAATAACACCCTTGCTCTTGATCTTTGTAATTCTGTAACTCTATATAAATAATAAGTTCCTTAAACAGCGTTAAGCAAGTGCGAGATCTGGGCAGAGATATGTAAGTAAAACTACATAATTACAAAAGTGGAACATTCTGCACCTAACGAAATGAGATAAATTGCATCTTAAAGCCGGAGTACACGAGGTACATTCTGTACATGCCATTATCTTGATACTTGTTTTAGTAACAAGGAAGAATTGACTAAGATTAGCAGTAGAATAGCAGAAAAGATGGATACTATTTTACGTTTCATGAGATCCATTCAATATTTATCAAAGCCAGCTTAGATGTGATGTAACAAGCTCGAAATAATTCACAGTTCCGTGCACACAGAGAGTTCGACTGTTTAATAAAATTCTCCATCGAACGAAAACTTCAAGCGGATCGTGCCAACGAAGCGAAATACCTTCGAGTGAATCCTTTTTAGAGAGAAATGAAAACGACTGAATACCGAATGCCGCGTGCAAGAATTAACGGAGGATGAAGAAATTTTATTGCTTTATTAACACACGAAGAATGTTTCATTGCTTCCCTCTCGCGAGAGAAGCTCTCGCGCGCCCAGAAGCTCGAGTGTGCCATGCGACGTGTTACACTCGCGTGTATAATTACACCGATGTTGGCCACACAGCGTGAGACTCTTTTGCGCCACGTTTTTGTCAGACCGAGACAAAACGAAAAGAGAGGGAATAGGGAGAAACGGAGAGCGCGAGACGGGAGCGAGATTTCCACAAGCCACTTCGCGTGCCTGTGGAAGTTCGCGTGCAAAAATGGGTCAGGCACACATTTCGTTATGACGTATTGCTTAACGATCCACCGCTTTGTCCGACATCGCATTCTGCGCTCCTCATTCACCTAACTGGCGAGCGCAGATTAATTAGCTAGAGACAAGATTAATTAATTATGGCGACCTCGACGAGTTCGACCTAGGAACATCCCGCTTTACTGTCGTCGTGTTCGACATCGAGTCGAGCAAGAAGTTGGTTCTCATGACCAAAGACTCCACTCTAATTAGATTTACACGTATGTTAATTAATGCACAGACATAACGGAGTTTTGCTGTACATTATTATTTATTACATAAACTTTATAAAACAAATAATAATGTCATTCGTTGTACCATTAACCGCCTCGCCATTTACTTGTTAAATACAATTAATGGCGTCTTCAATAATACAATTAATATAAAATACAAAAATGTATATAACGTCGCAAAAAAAATAAAGACATTTTAGGTAAGCATTTTTGAATTTGATGTCGGCAATATTAAATATAGAGCTCGTTTCCCCTCTTACCAAGAAGCTAAACTTAAGGACTTTCAGAAGGATCTCGTCGGCACGATAGGGTAAATTGGGTCTACTCTGTCCGCATGTAAGAACCTCTTAATGGAATGAAATTTGCCTGACATCGCGCAACTATCTTTCAAGTTATTCTAGAGCGCGTTACCTATTTCTGTCTGTTAAAGTACAGACGACAAAGGGTTAATTTATATCATTTAAATGGGAAAATAATTAATAATTTATAATATAATTATATAGCAACCGTTTTTATATTAATTACAGACATAATTAAACTGAAATAAAATAAAGTAATTAGTAGAAAGAATTATACCTACAAAACACAATTTGTGAATTTTACTAATTTGCTAATGTAAATCGAATGAGAAAATTAATAGACAATAAGCGCAAGGATATAGTATATCAAATGGAACATTGGTACTCAACTTAAGTACGAAGTTTGACAGCGAAGCGAAAACTAAAGGCTCCAGCGGAAGGATCTGTCAGTCTGCTCGCGCGATAATGGAGCAGCGAAATTTCCTTTATACATCTCGCACGGGTACCTTTCAGTAAATAATTCCACCGAGTTGACTGTATGTCGACGACGGATAATGATACTCCGGGAACCTAGTATCATTGATATCACGACATCTCACATTGCGAATGCTTCGCGGATCTTCAATCTTTGTTTGCGATACCTACGCCGCAAATATTCCATATCCATATAGTTTCGCACGACGAACGGGAGAGGAAGATCGGGGTAAGCCTGATATTCTCTTATATCACATACTGCACAACGGCGGATGTCGAACGTTACAAATAATACAAATGCCTGACATATCAGAGCTGTTTCTCTGAACTAATCCCTTTGATACATTTTGGAATTTAACGTGATATCTTGAGCGTACCGCGTATTATTGTTTTAATAACTCACATGACTTCCGAGATATGTACTTGAATTTTGAGTTTATTCTATCTATGTTGAAAACTGTGCGCCGAATTAAAGTTCGTAGAAATGTAGAAAATTCAAATAATTTATTTACCTCCCTTTTTATTACCCTTAACAATATTGCAAATGTTAACGACGGGAAATAATTCGCCGAAAACAAACGAGAAGTTATATTGCATGACAAATACTTTTCATGACGTCGGACCCGGGTGGCCGCGCTATTTAAATGCACGCTTGAAAAACTGCGCCTTTCCTGGTGTCGACGAGAATAATAAAAATGGTTGCATGAGCGCGGGGCAAACGCGACGCGTGGAAACGCGCCAAAGTTTGTTCGATTCAACGGCAACCCCCTGATGCGTTTATAACCCTCGGGGACGGTGGAAGCCTCGGGTAAAACATAACGACATTAAGTGGTGAAATGTTGGAAACACTCGATGAAATTATTTTAAATTTCCATTGAAAATTTGATTTATACAATGTAGTTGCTAATTAATCGTTTGCTAAAAAATCGTATACGTATACAATAAAAATTTTTACAAAATCCATTTATGTATTTTCTGTTTGCATTCGTATTTTCGATTTTATATGAACGGTCCATAATTTTATTTTTAAATAAATAATTGTATATATATAAATAAAGTCTATCTTTATTGCATAAAATAATATAATATGCCAAATTTCTACCTTATCAGACTTAATTAATAATAAAACAAGCCGCATAACTGAACAAGCCTGAAGTGTATACTTCACGCAGATTTCGCAAATACGTGTATTTCGCTGGCGGCAAAATGCCAAAAATGCGATTTATTTGAGTTAAGAGGATTACTCGTTAAATATCTCCTTCTTGTAAAGTAATGCTCCATCGATCCGCGTCAGCGCGCGTTACATCTCCGGCTACGAAAATGCCCAGCCCGACGATGACCCTTTAGCCGGACGCGTCGGAAAATTTTCGTACCTAATGCGCTTTTAAATTTCGGTTGAATTTACTGCTGCATTTTTGCGCGAGTGCGGTATTTACAAGCGTGTACTTCGTAATCAGCTGTTTCGAGCGCGAAATCCTCTTTCCGATATAAGTGGTGTTTAGACTTTAAAGAGGAAAGCACTTTTTAAGCTAAACAACGACAAAGAGCAAACTGGTAGATCGATAGAACATTTAAACGGAAAATCGTAATTTTATCTGCGTTTAAAGGCACGCATAATATAGAATGTCGAGATAACAACTTCGTAATCCAAGATACATGAACTGAACCGAATAACTTTAAACGAAATTATTAGACGCTCTGTATAAAACTATTTTGTATCAGGCCAAATTTCAGTTCTCTGTGAGAACGCAAAATTGTTTTGCATTTTGAATCTATTAAACAGAATGAGATTTTATCACCTGAATATTCTTGTTTTTTTTTTTCATACGTAAATATGTAACATCTATATTGGTTATCTCAATTATCATAAAAAAATTACATATATTTATTCCAATTGGTCTAATTTTGATATTTCAAGAAAGATAGTTAGTCTTAAACGTAGGAAGATAAAAAGATAGGAGAATAGACAAGTATAAATACTTGTCGCTTCTCAAATATCGTACTATCAATGACGCGTATATCTATTCACAAAACAACGTATACGACAACCTCGTACCTGGTGTTAAGCCCCGCGTGCGCCCGCCCGTAACAATCGCCGATGTGGCGAAAATACTATCCTGGATCCTCGGCTGCTGAGATCCTCTAAATCTCCAAAGTCGTGGTACACACGCGGCCGGCTCCGGGAAACGATACCGGAGCGAAGCGAGGGAAGCGTCGCACGCGCGCGAACGCCGCGGACGCGATTCTTATTCGCGTGAACGATCGGCAAGAAGAAAAGGGAGAGAAAGACAGAAAGAGAGAGAAAAAGAAAAAAGAGAAAAGAGAAAAAGGAGAGGAAGGAAAGGGAAGAGTCAGCAGCGAACACAGCCGAGGCCGAAGGAACTTTGGAGCGAGCTCTCTCGTCGCGAGGGAGTCGCGGCACGATACTGACGGGTCGTCCGTGGGGCGCACGGACCTCATGCCGCCAGGATCTCCATCCCCACCGATCCCGGCGGCGCGGCGCGGCGCCGATATTCAGGGCCGGTTGATCAACGGTGGATTGTCGCGATCCCGAGACGGTCTCGTCTCCCGCGTAAAGGGCTGATTAATTGCTCGCGTACTCAACGTCCGGTACGCGCGCGGGTTAACGCCGTAACCGCAAAAGCTATCGAATCGCCGCAAATGGAACGGCGTATCCGAAAAATTTTAATTTCACAGAAACGCCCCTAAGTTTGACATTTCGAATATAACTGTGACTCTCTTTGGTAAGTGTCCAATATTCGAAAGTATCCAATAATTACCTATCACGTTAAAACGACAAGGTTCTTCTATGAAGTACGTTTCAGGCTTTTGCCTTTGCGAAATGAACTCATTATTACGTCATACTTCCCGTTCTTAGATTTTTTTTGCGTCTTTCAACCGTTTAGCATCAACTGCTGATGTGAACAAACACGAGCAACACACAGGCCTAAATGAAGTTAAGATGGAGAGAATTAAAAGTTGCGTGATTGTGTGGCGAAAAAAAAAACTAGGCAATCTTTGGGACTGAACTAATAGAGAAAGCTGTGCGTGATCGCCCGAAAACACAGGCTTTGTTATGTAAACCACTTTCAAATAAGATAAAGATAAATGATTTTATACGTTGCTGCAAATAGAATTAATCACTTAATCTGCGTTAATTATACAAGATGTACGGATAACTTAGGACTTAAATGACCGTATAATTATTTAAGCAATATTGTAATTGCAAGGAATGGAAATGAATAGAAGCGAATTTAATGAAGGGGTATTGATTATATGGATGTCTATATAAGTGTAATTAGTGTCACATCACAGTCATCGCGCTTTTTTTAAATAATAAATTAGAAGCTAACCTTATATTATCAAGAAAATTAATTATGATTCAAATTGGCAATATCCTTATGTTTTATCCTCGATGGATTCTAGACAAATCATTTTTAATATATTCCATCGCGATATTCCATCGCAAAAGAGGAAAATCATATTTGTATATAATTATGTCAAAATATACATAAAGTTTTTTCAAACTTATCGAATTGTTCGAGTAATATCGATCAAAATTCTCATCGATGTTTTAAAGCTAATTAGATTCATCAATCAAAACATTCTCAATCATTAAGATAATGTCTAACTTACCAGAGCAATAATGCTAACCCCGCGCGGTCACGCACGCATTACATCATGGAATTCTATCGTTTTCATGAATCGCGCTCGTTTGAAACTACGCTCATCTCATTTCGAAAACTACCCTCTGGCTTTTGCGAATTTAGCGCGCGCGCGCAATGAAGATAACGCCAAATATTTAAACGCAAGGTAAATGTTTATATTCACCGATAAAACGCTGTCGTAATAGTTGTTCTTAGTGTATCTATCCTTACTACGTTCTTGCGGCTATATCAAGCTATAACGTTCCATTCAGGATGCGCGCGTTCTATTGCTATGAACTTTCGGTGTCACGACTCACTGATTCTTATCTGAGTCTTCTCCAGGATTGTGCCGTTTATTACGTATCGTCATTATTACGTACAAGAAGACTCAAACTCAGCTAGCTAATTTTCAATCGCGTTACTGACTACAGCAATAGAAACGGCGATTACGCAGTTTGTGAGTAAAAATATTTAGAAAGCGTAAATTGAATACTGAATTGAGTACTAAATTGAGTACTAAAACTTAAAACAAGAAATGTAAAATGTGAAATAACATTGTACGAAATAACTGATTTGCAATATCAAACAGAGAAAGATGGAGAAAGAAATTCTAGAGGCGGGAAGAGAAGAGGTGAGAAACAAAAGTAAATTCCATTCTTTTCAATCTTCATTTTTCTCTTCGAGATCGAAAGCCTAATCTCACCAAATTGATCTTCACTGCTTTCTCCTTTTCTCATTATTACTCAGAGACATATTCAACTTCTTTAATTCACTAAGGATCTTTTATCCTCTTACGTCATCGGCTGATATTACAATGCGTTACAAAATAAGATAAAATCCTGAAGCATGGAAAAGTCGCGTAAAAAAAATTTCATCACCTCCAAATTCATCAGATATACGCGACGTCTCTAAAGTCTAAAGATTGATGCAAATCTTACGAAACAGTTGATATACGATCTCGCGCATACCGGGCACTTTCTCTCGACCCGGCAAGTAATGTAGGCCGATATAAAAAGACTAGCGTACGTTTCAATGTCAAGGCGTGGATAACTTCACCAGAAAGGCACCGAGAATCGCATTCAACGATTCAATTAAAGAGTCAATTAAAATTAAAATTAATAATCGTGTTTCTATATTTCTTTCCCTTACTTTCCTCTTTCTCACACGCTGTCCTAATTCGAATGTTAATTCGTCATTTCGTTCCAGAAATTAAATATTAAAAATCCCAAGTTTGCAAACGAAAAGATGGTGAATCGGATCTTTTTTTTGGCCGGGAAGAGATCGTCTTCAGATACCACAAAGGATAATAGCGGAAGCGCGGCAAAGCCTCGAGGCGGTACAATGTATCATACGGCTAGATGCTCCGCGGAACGTTTTACGAATCGTCGTGAGGGTCACGACGTGTGCCATACCGTAGCCAGAAACGTAAAAGTAACCGCGCGCGGAGCGCAACTTTCGATCGTTTCTCGTGATGCGACGTACCGATAGCGCCGTAGTAAGCACTACCTAGTGAATGACACGATCTCCCACGCCTCTCTATTCGTCTTCTCTCTGGCTGCGCACGAGGCGGAGAGGAAGTCTCGCGGCGAAGAGAGAGGTAACTTGCGGGCGCATCCTTTTACTGATGAGCGCGTCGCGCCAGTAAACTCACTTTCATCTGTGATATTAGCCGAGCCAAGGCGAGCGAAGGCGCAAGGCGATTCGCCTTTCGATTCGCGCGAGACACGATCGAGGCCTGCGAGCATCTATAAACGTCCTCGAACGGACGATTAATCAGTGAGGGTGTTTGATACCGATGCGAGCCAATAGGAAAGAAATAAAATGCTATGTATCTTCCAAGCGCTGAGCGAAACGTTATTGCGACTTTCTGTACGACTATAATCCAAGATCAAACAAAGTACTGTAATTTAAAATGAAAGAAGATTTTTTGCGGGAAATCTAATGGTAAATAATTACAGGAGCGTTTCTTTCCTTCGCGAGAAATATTTTATTTTACACCGCGTGTCTCCGCGATGTATGTTACGCAAAGAAATGTTGTTTGTTAATGTTAAATTGTGTTAATCGCGAAATTGGAAAAAGAAATACGTTAGCTGATTGAACAAATAAAATGCCGCACTGTGAGCGTGCGAACTGAATTCATTTGAAATTACTATTCGGTGGTTTAACTGATTTATACGGTTCAATCCTACGTTTAATGGTATTAAAGATACGCTTTTTCCTATTTTATTACGAGCTATTTAACGTGATTATGATCTGCGAACGACGGTGACGGAAAATATGAAAGACAATGTTTGCTTTAATCCTGTATTGTCCTCTTTTTTCCGCGTTATATTGTACATGCAAACGAAACGACACTGCTGCGCACCATTGTCTCCCGATGCACTTCTTCGTGCCAGTAATAACAGCAGCACGCGTTGAAAAAAAAAGGGAGAAAATATACCCCTCGCAAAAAAATCAAATAACAGTGGTAATACCGGCGCAGCTCACGGCGGGCACTTTTCTTGAATAACGTATGCGGACGTGGTTACGCTGCGTCGCGTCGTAACGACGAAGCTAGACGGTACTTAAGAGGCGTTGAAGTATGAGAAAGAATATTTTTAAATGTGCATTTTCACACCCCGGGGAAACTATGAAAACCATGAAACTTTTGGATTAAAAACCAAATTAATGTGTTATATATTTTTTTTATATACAAGCTATATTACTTTTCAACGCTTTTTTCAATATAAAGCGCAATAAAATAAATCCTATAAGACTGACGTAACTGCTCTGTATCTGATAACTAAACAAAAAAAACTTTCCAATTGCATTAAAATTTCTTTCTGACTAATTGATACAAAGGTCGCGGTGCAGAGTTCAATTAATATTAATTACTATATTTTAATTTAATATTATCTAAACGGCACGAAGCATTGTGTTAAATATCCCTACAAATAATTAAAAAGATATAATTATTAATTAAATATTATCTTTGATATCATTCAAATTAATTACTATTTAATAAAGTCATTATATAAATCTAAAAAATGTAATATAAAGTCATTAATGGCGCGTTTGCTATCAATATTATCAAAGATATAACGTTATCAATAATATTAAGTGGTATTATCAATAAAATATAAATAGTGTTGTCAATACCGATCCTTATTAAATACACTGTTGATTTTATGATAAAATTTAGAAGCGACTTGGTTCGCAATAGATTCCTTACGCGTTGCATTGCATTAACTTGGCTGAACATTCAATTCCATTTTGGAAAGTTAGCGGCGTGTCTCAACTTCGCGACCATAGAATCAAGTATTATTCATCACGCGCTATAAATTACAGCCAACAGTTTTGTTGACGTCGCATCAACCAGCCTGAGGACTTATACTTTCTTCCCTGTCATGATGCAAACTAATTGTTCGGTCGTTGTCCTCCCGCTTATTCGCGTTTTCGTTACGCCTAGCTCATCACCTGGTATTTCAATAAGCGGTTTGTTAATTTTCTAATTAATCACGTAAAGAAACATTAATATCATGTGTTCTACTACTAGTGTTGTACTACGCGACGAGGCCGTACTTTCATATTTATTCATATTTATTCAAATTCCTTTCATATTTATTCAAAGCAAAACGTTAACAATGTAAGAAGTAAAAAATTATACGAGATACTCAGGAAAATTCGAAATCGATATTTATTCGGAAGACAAAAAACTTTAATATACATAAAATGTCTTATCTTTATCCCATTAAGCATGAAATGGAAAAATAAACTAAAAATTTC